ATGTTCTCACATAGAATTCCCACCATATGCTCGACTTTTTCCTTTCCTTACTTTTATTTGTACATATAAGTAGGTGACGGTAGAACAATTTATCGAAAACTGTCACAAACTATTGATTATTAATACGCTATCTGGCTCTTTTCAATTGGTGTATAATGATTTTCTCATTATTTTTAAATAGAGAAATGCAAATGAAACGACAATTAACTTTCTAGACTGGACGGAGGGGTTATGTAACATTTCCACAGGTTCTTTAAATTTAATTTTATTTTGGGTGTCTGTTGGGAGTCTGTTTATTAAGGATCCTCAGATCCTTTATAGTTTTGTAATGTCGTCCGTCCGTCCGTCCGTGTGCGCTGTAATTTTTTAAAAGTGGCCGATTGTGTTGAAATTTGGTGTACCGGTACATTGTACATTAAGGGCGGACATTATTGATTTTCAGGAAGCTGGTTCAACAGGAACAAAAGTTATAGGGCTTCGATTGAATGGGGAACAGGAAAAACTGCGTGCTCATAATACTAGAAATCAACACATTTCATTCCCTAGGACCTAGGTCATGTATCGAGTTCGGACTTTCGCTAGATTATTCCCTATAACGTTGAGAAATTAATTAATTAAAAGACAAAGTAGGATTGGAGAACTTCATACCACAGAGTTAAACACTCGAACACAGATTTAAACACTCTTAAATCTGTGTTCATAGTATACTACGTATTCCTAGATGTGTAACAATTCAATATAACTCTTCTCTGTGGTATAGGTCAAAAGTTTTAGAGCAAAATGTACTTACCTACCCACAATTATTCTTTACACATGAATTTGGAGTTTCAAACGCATTATCTTGATGGAGATTTGATAACCGTATGTGCGTGATTCACAAATTAAAATATTTTTCTGAGGTCCCATGGATTTTGATCGAAACATGTCAAAATCTTATTTATGCACCAAGATCGTTGGGAAAGAACTAAGAGCATAATCTCAACGGAGCCGGACATTAGGGTGTCGCCGATAGGGCGCGAGACATAAAGGCGCGTGGATATAAGGGCGCGAGGATAAAAGGGTGCGAGACATAAGGGCGCGGGAACATAAGGGCGCGGGGAGATAAGGGCGTGAGTACATATGGGCGCGGGATAGAGTATTCTCTAAAAATATATTGTAGTTTGTTTGTGTTAATATGTCAACAGTCTTTACACAACGCGTTCAAGATACCAACAAGTTGAAAAGTAATCGTAAACGATTTACATAAAGCGCATTTCCACTTGCATTCATTTCCTATTTGTAAGATGCAACTTTTGTTAAAATTGTAAAAATCCGGCCACAAATATGAAAGATAGCGTTGCACATATGCAATCCATTTTGGACGTGCTACTTCAATTTCAGTTTATAAGAAGAGTTTCATTTCAATGCTTTTCTAAATAAGAAAGTTGGAACTGCGCATGCGCAAAACCAAATTTTGAAATTGGCGTTAAATTTGCTTTTATTCCATTCATCACCACCTTGACCTTAGTTTATTTTATGACCCGTAAAGAGTACATACTGTATTGAATAGCATTTTTATTACGAATACAAAAAAACGCCAAAAAAACAAAAGTTGGAAACTGTTGGTTTGAACAGGATGGTGCACCCGTGCACAACGCCCTAATCGTGCGAGAATATGTCTTGCGCCCCAACGGCCGCGTCCTTTCGGTAGCGCTCTTTCGGCGGCGCCCTGCGTAGCTCAGATGAGCTTACGTTAGTAGCTCTAACTTTGGCTACAAGGGTCCTAGGTTCGAATCCCAGGCTGTTTGTGATTGTATAGTGGGTTGAGTGGGAAGAGTAGCAAATTGCTAACACTCCGCCCACTATAAAATAAAGGCAATAAAAAAATAAAATAATGTCCTAGACCGTAATCTCAATACTCAGGACATAAATGTGATGCATTTCTCGCGGCCACATGGATTTTAATCAAAACATGTCAAAATCGTTATTTATGCACCAAGATCGTTGGAAAAAAAGACCAAGAGTATTATTTTAATGACCAAACCATGAATTTGATCTATTTTTGGCGATCACGTGGATTATGATCAAAACATGTCAAAATCGTTATTTATGCACCAAGATCGTTGGGAAAATGACTAGGGGCATTATCTCAATGTCCAAGACATGAATTTGATGCATTTTTGGCGACCACGTGGATTTTGATCAAACCTGTCAAAATCGTTATTTACGCATCAAGATCGTTGGAAAAAAGACCAAGAGATCTTAATGACCAAAACATGAAATTGATCTATTTTTGGCGACCAAATGGATTATGATCAAAACATGTCAAAATCGTTATTCTTGCACTGAGATCGTTGGGAACAAGATTAAGAATATTATCTCAATGCCTATATACTATAAAATGTATAAAATGTATTTTGTAAGATCAAATTAATTGTCGTTAAAAGGGATTGTAATACTAAGGATTTTTCGATATTTCGTTGTATCGGTTTATTAAACATTAATTTTATTTTAAATGCAAAACATATCTGAAAATTTTACTTCTATGCAATTTTCGTTGTATGGTTATTGTGATTGGGCTAGATTTACAAAACTTTGTTTACTTGCGGAGATCTCAGCATTGGAAAGTCGCAGAAAGCGCCATGATGTCTCGTTTGATAGATGATAGCTATTGTCTTCATTACCGCAGCAAGAAACATGTTATACATTCCTCAGTTCGGCCCGAGAAGCAGTCAAACCGAAATTGTGCTTAGATGCACAGGAATAAATTGTGCGCTTTTCTTACCTTGCCGATGAAACGATTAAGTTCAGTCATTGAATTATTCAATGGTTTAGTCTAATTCTGGTGGGGCATACCAACAGAGAGTATAGACTATCATGCTTTACTATAACCGCGACGACCGCGCCAGCCGCTTCGGTCGCGTGTTGCCGCTCACGTGGGACACTGCGTTAGAAAATGAAACCAGTATTATTATAGTAATATTTAGTAGATGGTTAACAACAGTTTTCTATATACAACCATGAAATAATGTAGTGTGCAGAAAAAAGCAAGGTTAGTCCTTCGGGTTACAAAGTGCCCCTCGCCTACTAGTGAATCATCTAAATCTAATTTCGCATGTAGTTAGTTGAAAATTCCGAAAATAACAAAAAAATTCGCGATTTAAATCGATATTATGGTACTTTTTTCAAGACCATGATCGACATGTCGAATGTTTTAATATCATATAATCATATCTACTTAAATAGTTATTTTTTTTGTTATTTGCAACATTTTCATTGAACTACATGCGAAATTAGATAACCCACTAGTCGGCGGGGAACACTTTGTAAGCCGAAGAGACAATCTTCACCTCAACCTCAACCCAGGTTCGAACGCTCTACGACTGAGCCATAAAGCCGGATTAGCTGCTTAGGATTAGGCTATTATGGTCATATCAAGTTTAAGGTGAAAGGTGTAAATTTCCTGGTTTTTGGTGGCGAGCGGCTACAGAGAGGAACTGCGGTGAAGTTGGGTATGCGTTTTTCTTACATTGTTTGTAATTATACCATAATAACAGTAAGTAGTTTCCATCTGCGTACATATGTACACTACCTATCCTTTGCACCTGCACCAGAGGATCTAATTTACTCGGCCTGCTTTCATTAAGAATTTTTTTATGAGTTTGCATTTCGAAACTACTTCCTGTCAATTGCCGATTTGCTGGTCCGCCTTGTACACCCTAGAGGGGAAGGGGCCCCTGTTGCATCTTCCATGGGGACTACTTACTAGTATTATGGTATAATTACAAACAAAAAAGACGCATGCCCAACGTCACAACGTTATTGCAGTTACTCTCTGTAGCCGTCCGACAATATGACCCACATAAACATACAAAAGGTCACGCAGAAATTCAAGGGTATTTCTTATCAAAATAAATGAGTCACCCCATTACTCGTCACTGTAAATGACGTTTAATTCCTATTATTATCATAGCAGGATATTTTAGCCGGATGGCTGTTCGGCGTTGTCAATGACTTTGTTTGTTTCTGGAGCTCAACAGTGATTTTTAACACATTTTTCTCATTGACACAGCTCGGAGCTTATCAAATAATAATAATTTTGCTAACATCGTTACAAATAGCAGGAAATTTTTGCGTTTGAATATTTCTATTATGAGTTTTCCAAACGGTATTGGTGCAATTATCATTTTGACGTGGATTTCAACATAGTGAAGTGGAAATATTTAAAAGTTGCCTACGTTTTTTTAACACCAACTTTTTCTGTTTGGGTTTCCTTACAACCACAGGTTTATTATAAACTTTTTGATCATGTTTAAGCTCAGAGAGTTCCATGCGAAGATTATTAACGGGCTCCTAATTTTTCGGTGTCTATCCGTTATATCTCGAAAACGAATGAACCGATTACGATGAAATTTTGCAGATTTATCAAATTTGTATATCAGAGTCGTGAATTGGCAAAGTAAGTCAAAAAATAAGGAAGGGTCTTTTGACTTCTCCTCTAGTTATAAACCGAATTGCATGAAATTCAAAGCATAGGTTTAGCAATATGATTTGCAGTCTAACTAGCCATACCCAGGAGCTCGTTTGCTGTATTTGTTTAATATATTATTATCTGTTTTTAGGTGGTATACGATGATGGACAGTCGGGAATTATCTTCCTTTAAAGAAAATTCCATTTAGATTAACGTCAACTTGCATTTTTAATATCGAATTTCATTTCTATTTGTACGTCAGCAATTTCCTTTTGTAGACACACATTTTTTTACTTTAGCAAACGTGACTTATTCCAAGGATCCATCTTGCAACGGGGTTGATATGCCTCAATGCAGGACAAGCCATTATCATTTCATTAAAAAAATTCTTGTGGGGAAACGTGACTTCTTGGAGTAGTGTCTAACAGTTGTAACAAGAAACAGGGATAGGACAAATAAGTTTTCGCACTTTAGCCACCTTAAGAAAATGCACTAGCAATAATGATGGTTTTACATAACATATTTATTTTTCAATATATCATAAACTTCTACAATAAAGGTAACCTTAGTTTTGACAATTCATACCCACCCAGACTAAAGGTGAGATTACGTACTTACATACGTGTAACAGTTTAATATATAGTAACAAATAGTGAACAACTTGTAAAAAACTAGTGCAAAAATTTAACAAGGCATTGTACATTTTATTATTTTGCTGCTACTGAACGATATAGGTATACTTTTTATTTTTTATGGACCTTTATCAAATTGTTGTAGACCCGCAGTTACAAATTGTCGGGCTATTACAAAAATTGGACATGTGCAGCACAAGTCAGACATGCAGCGTAACTCACCAACAGACATGTGTATCAAGTTTAGTTGCAATATAAATTGTTTAACAAACAACAATTAGCAGCTTATCTTTGAGATGTCTAAAACCTTGCCCTTGGGTACACGGACAGTGTTTTGAAGCGTTGATCGTCCACATCATTTGTTTCTTTTTCTGGCATCTTTACGATCCCTTTGTTAACATTTTCCCCGTTCATGTCATAGACATCTTTGCTTCCAACTGTGGTGTCGATAACGTTTCCTACTTTACGATGTTTGTAATACCAATACTCAAAGGCGAGTGTACCGCAAGCCAAGCATATTCCCACGAAGATAACAATGAAAACACCGCCGATATTTTGAATACTAATACCATCAGATTGATCCTCTTGCTTATCACATTTTACTTTGAAAGGATTTTCATGCCACCAGTATTCCTTATACCTCTCCAATTGCCTCATATTTAGCAAATTTAAGATCCTGAAAATAGATTATGTTATAATTACTTACGCAGTAACTACTAAAAAAGAAACATATTTTTTGACAGTAAGAGTGGAAGAAGTAATAAAAGTGTATGCTGACAGACCGATGGACAGACACAGCTAACCTGATTGTGCAATTTTAGTTTTGAAAATGGCGACTATGACTGCCGTTAATATTTACGTTATTAGCCACTGCTCCTTTCGTAATTCAAAATATTGCCAGTAGATTAATTCGGCAGCAAAACGTAGTGAAAGATAGTTGAAGTTATACAGTGTATGGGTTTATGCACATGTTTAATTTTGAAACAAACGAAATTGCCGTCGATTTGGGGCTCGAGTTGGTGTGCCGGATGCGAACAACCCAATTTAGTCGACCCATTCCAGTATAATGAAGTTTTATATTATACCTAACATGTTTTAGATAATAAAACTTTCGCCCAAGTGGCCTTGAGTATGTTGTTGAACTATTCCTATGAATGAACATTTTCTACACTCTTTCCCATATTATCCCTAGTATTAACATTGAATAATAGCAAAGACTATCAGGAGTCTTTGATAAATATACTTTAATCGACTTTGATGAATACTTTATGGCAAAGACAGGAGGATAGTCTTTGTTTATGCTAAAGGTTTTATATACTTACGCTGAGTTTAATTGATCCTTTAGAGGCGAGCCTTGTTGAACAGCTAGAGCGTAGGGTTTCTTTGAAAATTCATCTCCCACCTTTTGTAAATCGCATGCAGTCATTTCCAAGTATTTGATGTCACTGGCATCACCAATGTACGCGTAACCCTCATTTTGCGTTCTAGATGTCCTTACTTTTGCAACAGCTTCGTCCAATGTTTTAAGCAAACGAGAATCTTGCATTGTCTGCCACATTTTGGTATACCGGTCACTAATAGGATACTCCCATACCGATAATTTTGACCGTTCGGCATCAGACATGGAGTCGTTTAAACTCATATCTTTCCATATCCTACAATATTAAATGTTAGAGCCTTGTCTATTGTTCAGTTCATATAACTCACTCATAAAATCTTTTTTCAATATTGGCCATACGTTTGAAGTAAGTTGCCTGCTCCGAATTATTAAGGGGCGAATACTGTATTTTGTACTGTTTGGACAAATCGTCCAGAGAATCGACGGGTATGTCTAGTCGAGAAACAGTGAGAAAAGCAGCCAAGTTAGCGGTGTAGGAGGCGATTATGATAAATCCAAATAACCACCACGTCGCCGCAACTAAGCGACCAGATAAATTTTTGGGAGACTCGCCGCCTCCTTGAGGTGTTAATGATGTCATACAAAACCACAGGCACTCTTTGACATGGAACTCTCTTTTTTCTTCATGGTCCCTGTATTTCTCACGATTGTTTTGGAAACTATACGGGCTGAATCGGTCAAATATCCACAACATCAAACTAAACAAACATAAAACATCCATGTACTTACTGTGTCGCGGTCCCATTAAAACGAAGAGAATGAGAAAGGGGGGGGGGGGAGGGGGGGGGGGGGTTTAGACGAATAGCATTGCGCGAGCTAAAGACGGTAACGGAATCGGTAATTCGATGAGTTTGGTTTGGATTATTTTTTCAAGTGAGGTACAAATAATAGTACATTATATATCAAGGTAGAGAAGTCCACTATTATTGCCTGAGCACCAAGATTACATCTCGAGGCGCTTGCGCCAAGGGGTGTAAGGTGCGAAGGCAATAATAGACTTCTCTACCGTGGTATATATACTATTTTTTTCACTACTAGCACTTGAAATCCTCTAAATTAACATATTTATTTCTTACTCAGTTGTAAACGTTGATTAACAAGACAAAACGCAAACGGGGAAACGTCATGTTTAAACGCTACTGACTTGTAAAACTGACAGCAGACCTGTAAAAATTTTACAAGTTAGTAATCTAGTAATTTCATTGGCCAGAATGAATGCGAAGTCTCTGTTACATGGATAACATGATATTTTAGACATTTCTTCAAGATTAATTTAAGAACTAATTATTTACGTTTACTATTGTTTACAAATGAGTAACAAATAAAATATTGTACATTATACGCCAGGTAATAGTTTTTACTGGCTCTAGGAGATGACAAGCTCGCCTAACGGCTCGCTAGTCAACTTCTCCTATCGCCAGTAAAAACTCACTTACCTGGCTAATAATGTAAAATACTATACAGTGAATTTTTTTTAAATGCGAACATATATAGGAGTTTGCATGCAATGTAATTTCCCTATGTTCGATTTTAAAAAAAACACATCAATTTATTGAGTAGTTCAAATGAGTAGTAGATACAATTGACAGCTGTCACATTTTTAAAAATATCGCCGTTCAATTTAATTACGAAATCGGTTAGGTTATTGCTTAGAATGTCAAGGAGGGCACTTCGAACATTTATTGTAATTGTTTGCGTTATTTATTTTCTTATTTTCTTCATTTATGTATTGAATAAATCAAATTAGTAGAATACCAGGTGCACATGACCTACAAATAATTGAAGGTTGGTTCACAATGAATTGTGATGTCAGCGCGTGCCATGTGAAGTCAAGTTATCGTAAGTTTAAGAAAAATTTATCCTAAAGTTGCTATGGCCTCACATGGCTTAATTAAAAGAATCTTACCGAGTGCTCCTCATCATAAAGACTATGAGTTGCTGTTCATAGTCACACAAATTGCCCGTTCTGGGAATGTGAACCGCGCACATCTCATAGATTGATGTGTTTTTTTTAAAATCGAACATAGGGAAATTACATTGCATGCAAACTCATATGTTCGCATTTAAAAAAAACTCACTGTATATTGATAAGAGAGTTAACGGTTGGACAGAATTGTTTGTTTCTTAATTTAACATGTCAATCAAGTACGTGGAAGTACAAGTCAAACAGGCCGTATTTTGTTCTGTCATTGAGATTTTTCAAAGAGTAATTTCGTTCGAGTTTTTTCAAAATGTGATAATTTTAGGTATGTAATTTCTCTGGAAATTGCGAATGGTGGCAATTATTCGTTTTAGAGAACTTGTCTAAACGTTCATTGAGCGAAATTTCGGGTTGTGTTTTCTAAAAGTGACAGCGTGACAGTTCTCATTATTGACTACTAGTTAATAATAAAAAATTATTAACCACTTTGAACAAATGACGAGAAAGCCTACTTTACAAGTGGAAAAAAGGTTAATAATCATGTCATCAGACGCTAGTAGTGAAAAAAGGGTTTTATTTGTTACTCAGTTGTAAACGTTGATTAACAAGACAAAACGCAAACGGGTAAACGTCATGTTTAAACGCTACTGACTTGTAAAACTGACAGCAGACTTGTAAAACTGACAGTTGACCTGTAAAAATTTTACAAGTTAGTAATCTAGTAATTTCATTGGCCAGAATTAATAATAAGTCTCTGTTACATGGATAACATGATATTTTAGACATTTTTTGGAGATCAATTGAAGAACTAATTATTTACGTTTACTATTGTTTATAAATGAGTAACAAATAAAATATTGTACATTATACGCCAGGTAATAGTTTTTACTGGCTCTAGGAGATGACAGGCTCGCCTGACGGCTCGCCAGTCAACTTCTCCTATCGCCAGTAAAAACTCACTTACCTGGCTAATAATGTAAAATACTATTCCAATAGGGACGTTAAACTTTGACAGTTGATTGCGGCTATATTGTTTGAGCTACATCTGTCAAATTGGCTGTAATTTATTCAGTATGTTTTGACAAATCATCATGGAGAGTCTAGTGTCACACAGCCCCAGACACAATCAATATTCTGCACGAGCGATTTCTGGACATGATGGTTGTCTAACGCAGAGGCGACGTCAACTGGCCACCGAGATCGTGCGATTTGACCCCGTTAGACATTTTCTTGTGGGGTTTTCTTAAGTCGCAGGTCTACGCGAATAAGCCGCAAACCACCGAAGCGGGTCCGTTAACTTGGCCCCCCCCCCCCCACTGAGAGATTTCATAGTCGTATTATTTTGAAATGAATGCGCTCGTTATGCGCTCATATGCGCCACCGATAATAACTCTTGCGCCATTATCGTTTTTTAGAAATCCGAAAAAACATTTGGGGGGGCAAGTGAACGTAGCCCCCCCCCCCAGTACGTATTTTGTTCCTTGTAACTAGGTCACCTGATACATTTGGTTATGCGCTCAATTGCGCCACTTGAATTAAAGCTAGCGCCATTACGGTTAAGCCGTGACAAATTTTCAAAAAGTGGGGGGCCAACTTAACGTTTTTAAAAGTTACTTTTTTTTAACATCTTTTCATACGAAATTGTACTCTCAGGTATGCGCTGAAATGCGCCGTAAAAAGATATCTTTGCGCCATTATTGTTTTTTGGTTATCCTTAAATATATTTGGGGGGGGGGGGCAAGTGAACGGAATCCCCCATAACGCATTTTGCTACCGGTATTTGTGCCACTTGATACATCTGGTTATGAGCTCAATTGCGCCACTTGAATTAAAGCTAGCGCCATTACGGTTAAGCCATAAAAAATTTTTAAAAAGGGGGGGGGGCTAACTTAACGTTTTCAAAAGTTACGTTTTTTAACATGTTTTTTCTACATCTTACCTTTCATCATGCGCTAAAATGCGCCGTAAACAAAAATCTTGGCGCCATTATAGTGTTTCAGAAACACTATACAGGGTGTTTTTTTGGGAGCTTTAGTTAAACGATTCTGAGAAAGTAAAATTGGTAGGTTTTTAAAAATTTGTATTTAGGAATTACTCCGAAGGCCGAATCGATGTAAAATATTTTCAAAATGGACGCACTTCCGGAAATAACTTTTGAAAACGCTAAGTTAGACCCTCCACCTTTTAAAAATTTTTTATGGCTTAACCGTAATGGCGCTAGCTTTAATTCAAGTGGCGCAATTGAGCTCATAACCAGATGTATCAAGTGGCACAAATACCGGTAGCAAAATGCGTTATGGGGGATTCCGTTCACTTGCGCCTCCCCCCCCCCAAATATATTTAAGGATAACCAAAAAAACAATAATGGCGCAAAGATATCTTTTTACGGCGTATTTCAGCGCATACCTGAGAGTACAATTTCGTATGAAAAGTTGTTAAAAAAAAAGTAATTTTTAAAAACGTTAAGTTGGCCCCCCCACTTTTTGAAAATTTGTCACGGCTTAACCGTAATGGCGCTATTCAAGTGGCGCAATTGAGCGCATAACCAAATGTATCAGGTGACCTAGTTACAAGGAACAAAATACGTATTGGGGGGGGGGGGCTACGTTCACTTGCCTCCTCCAATGTTTTTTGGGATTTCTAAAAAACGATAATGGCGCAAGAGTTATTATCGGTGGCGCATATGAGCGCATAACGAGCGCATTCATTTCAAAATAATACGACTATCAAATCTCTCAGTGGGGGGGGGGGGCCAAGTTAACGGACCCACCGATGCCCTTAAAGACAAAATTACTCAATGCGTCAACGAGATTCCGCCCGATTTGTGTGCCAGAGTAATCGAAAATTGGACCTCTCCTATACGTGCCACTCAACGAACTCACGGCGGCCATGTGAACGATATCATATTCCATACGTAATGTCATTCATTGGCCTTTCTAATAATAATAAAAAATCGAAGATATCTAACACACAGCATGTTTTATTCAAATTTAAAAATTAACGTCCTTAATGGAAAACCCTATAGATAATAAATAGGCAAGTCCGACCTTAAATGCTCTTGTTTTTACTGAAATTTGGTTGTAATTGTGAAAAACATGGATTGCCATGACAATCAACCTTCGAAATCTGGCTCCCAGTTTGCATTTAATGTTACTGATTTTGATCGATGTTGAACCAAGTATCTTTACCAAACAAAGCCTTCTATCGGTAAAAGTGAACATAAAGCCCGAGGAATCGATTTCTCAACCATTATTGTCAAGTTTCACTTTACCTGGTTAAAAAATAAGCGCAAAGAATACAAATCCATACTTCATGCTCCAGTACCGTTAAAAATTTGAAGAGCGACGTCGACTGCTTTGGTACTTTCATTAAAATTGTAATTCCAACCAAATCGTAATACGGAACGGTAAAATCTATAACACTTTCGCGTTCGGCCATAACCGCCATTGATCCCAACGCAATGTCTGCCCTTTTCTCTAATAGTTCGTGCACAATACCATCCCAATTACCATGATCATCCATTTGTCCAAATCCTCCTTCTTTTTGAATATGTATTTCGTAGTCGAATTGTAAAAATTTGGCAATTTCATCCATTAAATTGATACAGTATCCAGTATACCCTCTTGCAAACGAGTCATTTATGTATACGAATGGCGGTTGCTGAAACAAAATTAAGTGCCGGTATAGTATTTTTAACTCTAACGGATGGAATAGTGTTTACTGCACGAGGATGCATAAATATATTTATATTGCTACTTATTAAGGGTTATCGAATAAGTTTTTCATTCTTACAGCAAGGAATCTGTGCGAAATAGTTACAAAATTAATCCAATGAGGATTATTTATATTAAGGTTTTGTGTAATAAATGAGACAAAAGATGAGTTTGTGCTGTACAGTGTGTCCCAGATTTAAAGGTCCACCCTATAATATCAGACACAAAAAAGAATAACTTGTTAGATAAACATACGTTCGTTCTTGCAGTTATTAAATACTTATCTTGTACTACTGAAAATAGTGTATTGGCGATGGAACTTTTTTACTTTCAAGCTGCCATAACTAGAAAATGAAGCAAGACCGGCATCGGACGTATGTTTGTCTAACAATTTATGCTTATTTTGATGTACTGTATCTGCTATTGGGTGGGCCTTTAAATTTGAGACACATTACAGAATGGGCGAGGTAGGCAGTTAGGTGGAAGATAAGCGAGGTGCGGCTGAACAAAATAAAGAAATTTTTCTTTACATTATTCATAAGCACCACACATGTAATTAGGTGGCGCGACTTACTACAATTGTGAACACTCTATATATAACATCAGCACGGTATTTCACTAAATTTTCAGAATCCGCAAAGTCGACGTTAGACTGTTGTTCCAGACTCGCCTTCCATTTTCCGATATATACAGGTTCGCGAGCCGATCCGTTTTTGAATGTAATGGCTCTGAGTTCCATATCAAATTGCATAAAATTTTTTCCATTACCACCATTAGGGATTACACGGAATGGACCATATGCAAGTTCTTCTCCCAAAACCTGTAAGTCAGTGAGTCTTTTAAAGATTGGAAATTTTCGGTAGTTCACTACATGACTAGGCGAAAAATTGTAGGCGTTTGTTGATTATATTTGTATACAGGGACTTGAAAAAATTCAGTAAATCAAGGAAGGTTTTCTAACTAATTACATCGTTGTCGACGTAGCACGACTTTACCGGGCACAGGCGCTTCAATTAAACTTCAAATAAAAAATAGAACTAGTACCCGTTTACCTGATCTGAATCAAAATAACCAGGGTCTCTGAGCAACAGCTGTTGACTTTAAAATAACTGAATATTGATAGAATTTCCGAATTGGAGGTCATTTTTTACCCCCAAAAATTCAAATCCGTGAACGTGTTACAAGAGCAAAAAATCTCTAACTTACAGTAAAAACGCACTTATACGACTAAATCTATATAGGTACTTATACTATATGAACATAGGACTAATCTAAAGGGGAGAAAATGTAATGAAGTAAGGCTTCATTCTATCCAATGAGAGATATTGGCAAGAGTAGTAGTAAAAACAGAAATAGTATCTACACGGTACATGAAAAAAATGGTAGATCATCAACCAGCTTAGTAATGTGGCGCATATTCTAAAAATCCCGATAGACATCGAGGCGCCATGAAAGATTAGTCATCAACGATAAGCAACTCGGGCGTCTGTGACGCAGTCGTTTCGGGAAATATGACTGAATAGCACTCGGAGAATATTCTAGAACGATTGTTATTTTCTATATAAGCAAATGGAATTATGTTTGGAGTTAGTTCCAACATCGATGCGCTTGTATTATGTTATAAATTGTGACTTACTATACTGTACTAATTAATCAATTTCAAGACTGTTATAAATTAATTTTTAGTTAATTCTAAATAAATAAATCACGTAATTAAATTGTGTGGGTGTCGGGTGTGTTTAGCGAACAATTAAGGGAAGTTTATGCCAGTAGTGCTATGTCAGAAAGTAGTTATAGTTACCGGCAGATTACTTGTAACTTGTAGACTTGTTACAATTGTATAGTTTGTGTTATAGCATTTGGCTGTATAGTCCGTAGAGGAGGCCCGGGTTATCCCACTTGGGAAGGACCGTACTCAGATTATTCTGGAATGCAAAGCGCACGCTTTGCTGTGGTCCATGAAGCACCAGCGGAGTACACTTTTGCTCACGGCGTAGTCAAGATGTCCTGAGGCATTGCCGTACAAATTAAGTTCCGGTTAGGGTGGTTAAGAGAAATCTACCTTCAACGTCGCGAGGTAGGTAGGTAAAGTGTGTTTCCTACAAGAGCAGGGATGATTTGTTTATTATCTGGTAACAAAAGTTCGGTCTTGTGATAGGGCTAGGATTTTTGGAATGCGCTACAGCGCTTAAAACGACAACTACACATTCATGGCATTACGAAGCTGACAATTCCAAAGATCGGATGTGGTCTTGGCGCATTTAAAGTCCATAGATTACTAAAGTAACGCGAATAGCAGCCATTTTGGCTCAGCTTGAGAACCGCGGAATTTTAAATTGAACAACAGTTGGAAAGTATGTGTAAAGTATGCATTTTGTAGTCGCTCTTGGATTGTGGGGATACTTTTGGATAGGGCAAGTTTTGTGAGCGTATCGTTTAATAGCCTTTAATATTACAAGAAAAATATATTGTAGTTGCATCGCTTTTTCAATCGTTTCACCACTCCACATAAACCCTTGTGTGTATCTACCAAATTCTAAATATTTTAATTGCTCTTCATTAAAAGTTTTCGAAAAATTGTCTTCAGTTCGGAGTAATTTCTTTTTTCGGCTTCTGTTTTCTTGCAAAAGTGTTCTAGATGCGTTTCTCTAAAGAATTAATGGTTACATCAGTATTCTCCGTAATGTAAACACAACTATTATAATACGAAACAACAAATGTCAAACCTGACACTAGGTGTCAAACGGCCATTTTGGCTCAATTAGCAGTTTGTTTTGGTCTAATACACTGGCCTAATGAATCGCGTTACTTTAGTAATCTAGGGACTTTACGCGCATTGTGCTTGGTGCGCCATATGCTGGAAGTGGTCTCCAAGGCACCGGAGTCGAAATATTGAGTCATTCTTTCCTGGAAATATGACGTGCTTGTTCTTGAACATTCGGAAGCGTTCGGGAGCACTCTGAGAACATTCTAGATCTAGAACGATTGTTCTTTGCTACTTCTACATAAGCAAATGGAATTATGTCCCGCGTTAGTTACAACAATGACGCGCTCGTATTATGTTATGACTAGTTGACTACCATTGAAAAACGAAATTTTCACTCAATGTTACTACTAATACAATTCAATACTAATACTACTAATCACGTAATTAAGTTTGCGTTACAGTAAAGAATTTCGGGAGACTGATAAATTTAATTTTAATTTTAATTTTATCCCTCTCTTGTTTTGGGCCCTCAACAGGCATGCGCCCAATTACAGAGTGACCCGCATAATGCCATTTAGAGGTGCCTCTGCAGAAGGTCTTAAGTTGGTCTATACTACTCCGGTATTTACCTTACGAATTAGGAAAACTGCAGGAAAACCTAATTCGGAGTAGCCGGTAGAATGCTCGGAACTGGTCTAAGGTAATTTCCATCTCCGCCACAGATGAAAAATTCACCTCAACCCAGGTTCGAACACCCGACCTCCGGATTTATAACCCAATGCTCTACCACTGAGCCATAAATCCGATATTTAGGAGTTCGGTTAACTATGCCATCAAAACAAAAGGCCAACAGAGCGAGACAAATAATAACCTAAAAATTAATATAACTAATCTCAACTTCCGAGTAGGTACACAGTGACGTCTGACGTAAACTAACGTAAACCTTTCAGGAGTTTCATTATGCTTAATGCCCCTAACGGGAACCATAAAATGTAGCTCACTTCTTAGGCAAAGCCGAAATGAATTTTTCTTGTAATACCTAAGCAACTAACTACGAGTATCTTTTTCCATTTAAGAAAATAGACGCTAAACTTATCGTACCTGACTTAGGCTTTTTCTGAGTAGTAGCGGGTCTCGAGTTGGATATTTCTTCTTTTCATCGTATTCGTCACATGTAACGTACGACATATTTTTTGGCCAATGATTGGAACTGAGTAGATCTCTGTGATCAAACAAGATTAAAACACAAGGCACTTTGGGTATGTACTTACTTTACGGCCATAAAGGAACGGAGTCCCAAATCAAAATAAAATGCTGCCAATATTTGTGGTTTACCATTCAAATTGTGAGTAGTCTCCAGAGTATTGAACCTAGTTCGATAGGGCTCGACGTGCAAGGGTCTTATGTGAACGATTGTACCGTTCCGACATTTGCACTTTATTTCTCCACTCTCGTGTGTAAAAATATGCCATGCAAATTTTCTTGAGAAATAATCGAGATCATCTGCCGTATTCAGTACTAATGCAACAGTATCTAGACTGCCGAGAATAAAAAAATTCATTATATCCAAGTCCCGTAATGTTACTAACTGATGTGCTGTACTAGTTGTGTTTACAAAGGCCATAACGTGGCGCGTTGCAATGTTTTGTAGCAGAGATTTGTACTTGTGGTCCATTACTAAAATGTAATTGTTTATTGCATCGAGTTATACATTCATAGGTTAGTTTATAAGCTATTTGCTAGCACTCTAATATCAAAGAGTAACCTCTTTGCTAATATGAATGATTCTGTAATGTGAGTTGATCATATTCCAAAATAGACCAAATTAAACAAAAACTCAACACCTTTGAAACCTAGTGGTCAGTGATTGGAATAATTGGATGGGCAGTAACAGTAAACTTACAAAGCCAATCTTAATACGGTTCCTACATGCTCTTATATTTTGTGTCAAGCATTTCGTGTGTCTTGAAAGTAAAGAGGAGCAAATGACCTCATACCATCGAACGATGTCAGTAAAAGCGATTTAGATACCTAAGTAAATTGACGTAGTGGTGTGAACTTACCTGCCTTTTTTGTCCACCATACTTACAAGTTCAGTACCTAGTGCATAGTAACATACCCAATACGGAGACCTACCGAAAGTGTTATCGAAGAGAATAGCTGCATTAGAAATGTTTTGCTGTAGTACAATTGTTCTAATTAATTCCGGTATTAAGTCTCCAGGAGGCATGACTTGCACAAAATAGTTGTGTTGGGCTGCAGAATGGCGTCTCCACGATCTTATATCGCCTTCTTGGCCAAATGACGCACTGATTGTAGGGAGTTCTAAGGCGGCTGCAAAGCTCTTTACCATTTCTGAACCCATTCCAGATCTTGTGGTGTCTAAAAGTAGATGGGGTTCCGTTTTGTTGGCCAACATCTGACCGTAGGTTTTGCAGACTAAGGAAGTAAAATACAAGATTACAAGATCACATGCTATAGTTGAAATTTTAATTGTCATGTATGACACAACATTTAAATCAACCAAATCATGAACCAAATATGGTCCACTCCACACATTTTTGGCAAACTCATACGTTTTCGACGCGTACATTCACTGCCTTAGAGTCAGTAAAATTGACAGAAACTTTCAAAAATTTACCAACATTGGGCATTACCAATGAACATTTTCTAAACTATAAACTATAATTAGGTGCTAATTGTATTGTAATTAAACAGAAGTATCAACAATTTCATCAATTTGTATAATTCAGCACGGCGACGCGACGCGATGACCTGTGTGAACTTGGCCCCCCCAACTTTAGAAAGCAATAAGTTTCGTGATTGAAATGTCTTGCGCTTCGTTTGCGCATGTTTGAATCAAATTTGGGGGGCCAACTTCACAACTGCCCCCCAAGTTTACAAATTTGACATTTTTTTCTTGTGATCGTTTGCGCTTTGTTTGCGCATGTTTGCGCTCCCAATACCTTCGTTTGCGCTCCCGTCGTTTTTGAATTATTCCAAATAGAAAATTCCATACTGGCCCCCCATTTTTCAAATTTGGCGGTATTTTTTCTTTTGATCGTTTGAGTAGAAGACCTATGTATGTTCTGGACCAGGAAGTGACGTCACACCAATCAGAGACGAGCACGTGACGTCACAGCCAATCAGAGACGAGCACGCCCCCCTATGCCCCTCCCCTTGGCCAATGGGATACGGTAGGTGGAGCCTTTAGGGGCCGCCCCCTGTGTCGTCACAGCCAATGAGCGGTGTGGTCGGCCATTTTGGATCGAGCGCCATTTTATTAGTCACCAAATCCGCCATCTTGGATTGGTCGCCATTTTATTAGTTTCTAATTCCGCCATCTTGGATCGGTCGCCATTTTATTACTTTTCAATTCCGCCATCTTGTTGGGCGCCATTTTATTAGTTTCTAATTCCGCCATCTTGGATCGGTCACCATTTTATTAGTCTCTAATCCCGCCATTTTGTTGGGCGCCATTTTATTAGTCACTAAATCCTCCATCTTGGATCGGCCGCCATTTTATTAGTCTCTAATCCCGCCATATTGTTGGGCGCCATTTTTGACCGTCTGTCTGTCTGCCTCTCTCGCTCCATCCGCCATCTTGGATGTTATTTTGGACTCGCGTCATCGGTCACGTGATTGCTATAGACAAAAATTTTTGTTATCTGCGTTGGGAATCGAACCCACGATACCTGAAATAGAAAGCTAGCGCGTAACCAAATGAGCCACGCAGACTTTGAGAGATTCTATAGTTAGAGGTTGAAGTCAATGAAAAAACAGGTGCCGTGACATGGCCCCAACTTATAATTCTCCGAGACATGTAAGGGGGGCCCTATTACCAATGTCATGCTCCATTCTAACCTGTAAATACATTTCGTGGCCCCCAGGCCTATAATGAGGCGATGGTTGCTCGCTCTCGGGGTGAGTCGTAAGGATGAATGGTAGGAAACTGTAACGCATTTATTCACATTTCAACCTTATTGCAGGTAGGTAATCATAAGGATGAAGGGCAGGAAACTGTAACGCATTTATTCATATTTAAACTTTACTACATGCCCTTATGGCATTGTTTAAATACTTTATAGTTAAACAACCATATGGAAATATTACTTGAACGAAATAAGTAGTTCTGGTCTAGAAAATCCAGTTGGCGCTACTATCGTGGTCTAAATAAGTAGTGACAGTTTACGACGAAAGGTTGCGCTTTATCATTACAGACTTTTTAGTAAGGCCTGCAAAAATCGTCAACAGATGGCTCTCCTTCAATGTAACCCGATCGGCTACCCAGCGTAACTGAGGCGACCTTGAGTAAGAATGCAAGTTGTAACTCTATACGGCTACGATTATACTATATAAACAAAACGCTGATGTTTAGTTCGACAGCAAATTCCTTTTTTTCACTACTAGCGTCTGATGACATGATTATTAACCTTTTTTCCACTTGTAAAGTAGGTTTTCTCGGCATTTGTTCAAAGTGGTTAATAATTTTTTATTATTAACTAGTAGTCAATAATGAGAACTGTCACACTGTCACTTTTAGAAAACACAACCCGAAATTTCGCTCAATGAACGTTTAGACAAGTTCTCTAAAACGAATAATTGCCACCATTCGCAATTTCCAGAGAAATTACATACCTAAAATTATCACATTTTGAAAAAATTCGAACGAAATTACTCTTTGAAAAATCTCAATGACAGAACAAAATACGGCCTGTTTGACTTGTACTTCCACGTACTTGATTGACATGTTAAATTAAGAAACAAACAATTCTGTCCAACCGTTAACTCTCTTATCAATATAATATGTTAATTTAGAGGATTTCAAGTGCTAGTAGTGAAAAAAATAGTATATATACCACGGTAGAGAAGTCTATTACTTCGCACCTTACACCCCTCGGCGCAAGCGCCTCGAGATGTAATCTTGGTGCTCAGGCAATAATAGTGGACTTCTCTACCTTGATATATAATGTACTATTACTTTACTGTTAAGAGAAAGAGTCACATATTTTATTAAGGATCCTCAGATCCTTTATAGTTTTGTATTGTCGTCCGTCCGTCCGTCCGTCCGTCCGTGTGCGCTCTAACTCTTTTTAAAAGTGGCCGATTGTGTTGAAATTTGGTATACGGGTACGTTGGACATTAAGAACGGACGCTTTTGATTTTCAGGAAGCTGGTTCAACAGGAACAAAAGTTATACGACTTCGAGTGAATCGGGAACAGGAAAAACTGCGAACTCAATATAATAAAAATTAACATATTTCGTTCCCTAGGTCATGTATCGAGTTCGGACTTTCGCTAGATTATTCCCTATGACTCTTAGATGTGTAACAATTCAATATAACTCTTCTCTGTGGTCTCGGTCAAAAGTTTTAGAGCAAAATGTACCCCAAATTATTCTTTACACATGAATTTAGAGTTGTAAAAGCTTTCAAACGCATTATCTTGATGCTGAAAGAGTTGATAACGTGCACGTTTGATAACCGCATGTGTGTGATTCAAAAATGTTAAATTATTTTTCTGAGGCCACATGGATTTTGATCAAAATATGTCAAAATCGTTAATTATGCACCAAAGATCGTTGGGAAAAAGACTACGCGCATTATCTCAATGCCCAAGACATGAATTTGATGCATTTTTGGCGACCACGTGGATTTTGATCAAAACATGTCAAAATCGTTATTTATGTACCAAGATCATTGGGAAAAAGACTAGGCGCATTATCTCAATGCCCAAGACATGAATTTGATGAATTTTTGGCGAAAACGTGGATTTTGATCAAAACATTTCAAAATCGTTATTTATGCACCAAGATCGTTGGGAAAAAGATCAAGAGCATTATCTCAATGATCTAAACATGAATTTGATCTATTTTTATGGACCACATGGATTTTGATCAAAACATGTCAAAATCGTTATTTATGCACCAAGATCGTTGGGAAAAGACTAGGCGCATTATCTCAATGCCCAAGACATGAATTTGATGCAATTTTGGCGACCACGTGGATTTTGATCAAAACATGTCAAAATCGTTAATTATGCACCAAGAGCGTTAGGAAAAAGACTAGAGGTTGGGAAAAAGACTAAGCGCATTATCTCAATGCCCAAGACATGAATTTGATGCATTTTTGGCGACCACGTGGATTTTGATCAAAACATGTCAAAATCGTTATTTATGCACCAAGATCATTGGGAAAAAGACTAGGCGCATTATCTCAATGCCCAAGACATGAATTTGATGAATTTTTGGCGAAAACGTGGATTTTGATCAAAACATGTCAAAATCGTTATTTGTGCACCAAGATCGTTGGAAAAAAGATCAAGAGCATTATCTCAATGATCTAAACATGAATTTGATCTATTTTTATGGACCACATGGATTTTGATCAAAACATGTCAAAATCGTTATTTATGCACCAAGATCGTTGGGAAAAAACCAAGAGCATTATCTCAAAGCCCAAGACATGAATTTGATGCATTTTTGTTAACTATAAAATGTATTTTGTAAGATTAAAATAAATTGTCGTTAAAAGTGATTGTAATACTGAGGATCCTTCGATATTTCGTTGTATCGGTTTATTTTTGTTGTAGGGGTAGATCTCGCCCCCTTAAATGTTCGTGCAAGTCTTTTGTGTGTCCACGTAATAATTCTATTGCCCTAGGTTTGAGTATAAACGGGCTTTTGATTGTGACGTTTGATGGTCTTCCGCCTTCATAAAACGCGACCTGGTATTAATGATTACTTTAGTGCATCTTCAACAGACGGTTTTCATCCATGTAGCAGGTGCTTTAAATTTGAATTAATACGAAAACGTACATTTTTCTCCAAAATTTACGCAATTTATGTTTTTTACTAAACCCGAGGATTAAGCGAGAGCACAATTTTGACGCGGGTCTAAAGACCCTATGTCTTGAATAATCAGTCTATGTGTGCTACTCACTATCTCTTATGAAACAGCGGTATAAACATTTGGAATAGGTAGCTTTGTTAATAAGACAAATAAATAAAAATGTCAAAAAACTTTAATGGAGCATTTTTCTTCCAAATAAACTTATTGTTCAAATGTTTTGGGGCATGTTGTTTAGGAGCTACATTTCCAAAAGTCTCAAAAATTGTTTCTTCTTTAATTTTTTCTTCTGGTAAGTACTTAATTTTTGATTATGCTTCGATATTGTAAAAGTATATCCAAGGTGGTGCATCCCTAAAATGGTTTTGATGTCGACAATATATGTCGCATGTCCGAAAATAGTGGATCCAAAATTATTTTTTGAAAAATGGTTTGTTCACTCAAATGATCAGAATTGTATGAAATTTTGTGGGTACACACACAGAAACTGTGGAAAAGTTTTTTCATATCACTTCTCAAAAAAAGTTATGTGCGTTTTGTCGTCGAAACCACCTGAGTTTCGTTCTTATGCTTTCATCGCGAAAAAGTGTT